CGCGCGTGTGGATAGAGGCGCTGGGGCTGCCAGTGCTGCAGCCGCACTACCCCTGGCTCATGCCCTCGGGCCAGGTGCGTGCTGCACTGCACTGCTCTACTATACCGCACCGCTTGTGTTAGGCAAACCTGGGGTGGCCCCTAGCTTCAGTTACAGGTCTGCATGCACCGCAGCGCTCTCTGCCTGCCACATTCTTGTCTATCCCACCTTCATTCTTGCCGCCCGCACGCCCTCTAATCGTGCTTCACCCCACGTGCTCGTATCCATCCCATGGGCATGTGTGTGAATATGTGTGCGTGCAGGTGGGCGGGTGGGCGACGAGGTACGACAAGCTGACATGGGTGACGGTGAGGGGGGCGGGCCACCAGGTGCCAACAGGCAAGCCCGAGGAGGCGTTTGTGCTCTTCCAGTCCTTCCTCCTCGCGCAGGACCCCCCCAGCACTGCTCAGTGGTGATCGCCCCACCACTGCAGTGTACACGTGCTTGCAATGAGTCGCTTTGTAATGTATTTATTCAAATTATTTTGTTCTTCCACTGGATCAGGCACCACTCAGTGGTGCAGCAAACAGAGAGTGCAGTCTGCTGCCCACAGGGGCTCTGCCTGCATAGTGGCTGTTTCACAGGCACTCTCCAACCTTGTTTACTGTAGCCACGCACACTGCTGTGAGTGAGATCACGGCACCTCATGCACTTGATACCGTCATCGCCCGGATATAAGACAGTGTTGAATAGTAGACAGGGGTTATCTATTATACGGGTGTTTCTTATAAACATGCTAGCCTTTTTATACGACACCTATTTGTGTGTACGAGATAAGACATATGTTTTATAATCGAAACTGCAATATATTATAGTGAGAATTGAAATACCGCGTACATTTTTAACCTTGCGACACGCAAATTCTGCAACGTGCTGACTCACATACTACCAAATTTGCCTCTGCAAGTATTCTCCATGACGTGGCGTCCCGAACAATGGTTGCCGAAGTGGCACCTTCGCAACATCCACTCTCATAACGAGAAACTCTTTTCCAGATGTGTGAAAATATTTCTTAGTTTAAAAAAGTTTCCATTTATAAGACTTATAAGACACCCAAAACCTTCCCAAATACAAGATAACCCAAGCATTTTTTTAGTGTATGAGATAAGACATATATGTCTTATATCCGGGCGATGACGGTATGGAACAGTGAAGTGGCTACCACAACAAAGAATATAGCACTCGCCCCCTGAAATGGTCCTTCACCTTATCAGCCTTGCTAACCCCCTTTCATTTAGGGGATGGTAAAGAGCAATGCAGGGTTCTAGGTGTGTCTACGACAGCTGGTGCTGCTCAGCTTGTGACCGCCCCTCACTCACCTCATCTTCCTTTTCCCCTGCAGCACTCGCCCCCACCCCTTTCCTCCTCTCAGCCCGTCGTCTTATCCTCTCAGCAGCCCTCTCCGCCTTCTCCCCTCCCGGCCCCCCGACCGCCCCCCACCGCTCAAACTGCCGCTGCCTGGCGCGCGCACGCTCCTTCTCCTCCTCACTCTTACTGCCATGGCAGTGCGGGCACGACACACCCGCCTCCCACAGCGGGGACAGCCGGTCAGCCTCATCCACGGGCTGCTGGCAGGCGTAGCAGAGCGAGTAGGTGGCGGTGGGGAGCATGCCGTGGCCCACGGCCACGCGCTTGTCAAACACAAAGCACTCGCCGCGCCACAGGCTGTCCGCGGGGGGCACTTCTGCTAGGTAGCGCAGGATGCCCCCGTCCAGGTGGAACACCCGCTCCTGGAAGAGAGGTGGGGAGGTTGATGGGGGAAGAGTGATGGGTGTGTGTGAGGGGCTTTGAGAGGGTTGTACTCTTGTACATGCTTTCACAAGGTCTTGGCGAATCAGGCAGGGAAAAGGACAGGCAGCCAGGCAGGCAGTGGGCCGGGCAGAGGGACGGGTAGCGGTGGGGGGAGAGCGGGGCGGGGGGCACCTGGGGGAAGCCGAGGTGCAGCATGTAGGCGGTGGCCTTCTCACAGCGGATGCCCCCCGTGCAGTACATTGCCACCCGGGGGAGCGATGCGGACTCGGACGGCGAGGCTTGGGAAGACTCAGGGGACTCGGGAGTAGACGCGGAGTCAGGGGGAGTGGTGGAGGCGGAGGAGGCGGAAGGTGGGGAGGGAGGCGCGGAGGAGTTGGGGGGCGAGGGCGGGAGGGGGAGGTGGTTGTGGACCCAGGCAGGGAACTGGCGGAAGGAGCGTGTGTTGGGGTCGGTGGCGCGGTGGAAGGCGCCTATGCGCGTCTCGTAGTCGTTGCGCACATCCACCACCACCTGGGGGCGGGTTCATTGTGGGGGGTTGGAGAAGGGGGATTGGCGGGAATGGGTTTAGGGGAACTGGGAGGGAGGTGGGGGTGGAGAGGGGTGCGGAAGGAGGGGGCTCTGTGGTGGGAGGGTAGGGGGGTGGTGAGACATGAGGTCATGAGGACACGGGAAAGGCAGCCGTGTGGAGTTAGAGACGGCAATGCAGGCAACGCGGGGGGAGCAGGGGGTGCGGGGAAAGCAGCAGGCGCGTGGGGAGCAGCGGGCGCGGCGACTGACCGTGGTGGGATCGGAGATGAGGTCGTTCCACTCGCGCGGACTCACGTACGTGCCCACGCCGTCCGCTGGGTTCACCTCCGGCATCCCCAGTGTCACTATCTGCCCGCCCCAGTGCCAGCGGGGGCGGAGAGGGAGGGGAAAGAATGGGGGAGAATGGAAGGGAAGGTGGGGAAGGGAGAGGGGGAGGAGGCAGCGTGTGATGAGGGAGGAATGGGATCGAGCGCTGGCTGTGTCGCGCTGCGAGTGTGCGCGTCGCGCAGTTAGCCCCGCCACGATGCACCAAGCAAATCCTTTTCCTGTGCGCCCTCTCCCTGCCCTTTCCCCCTCCTCCCTGTCCCCCTTGCGCGCACCTCCTGCTTCACTTTGACGCGCACGTGGTTCCATCGGAACGGCGCGTCTCGCCCCGCCGCCAGCGGGGAACACTCCGACTGCCCGTCCACCGCTTCCGCCTCCGCTCCCCCTTCCTCCCGCTCCTCCGCCTCCATTGCCTCTGCTGCGCGATGCGCCTCTCTCTCCTCCGCGCCCGCGGGCTGCACGGTGGTGCGCAGCCCCGCCAGCCGCGCATCGGCGCGCAGCCAGTCAATGACGGCATCGGCGGCGTCGGGCGTGCCGCAGATGCTGCCGTTGATGCCCTCGCGCGCGACGATTACGCCACCCGACACGCGGTGCTGGCGGCACACCTGCTCGAGCGGGCGCTTAAGCGCGTCGCACTCGTCCAGCTGCGCGAACTTGTAGAACGATATCACCACCAGACTGCTCCCGCCATGGCTGTTTCTGCTGCTGCTGCTGCTGCTGCAGCAGCTATTAACGCTCGCGCCGCTGGACGTTCTGTCAAGCTTACGTAGTTCCGCGCTAACGTCAGCCTGGCGCGATTCCGCTGGTTCTGCTTGTTCTGTGCTAAAGCCTTCTCCCTCGGCGCCGACCTTGCCAAAACCCTCTCCCCCGTGCGCCATGGCACACGGCCGTCTTTTGCCCAATGTGTCTGTTCCACTCTGCAAAATTATACGTGGAATCTGGAAATGAGAAACGCGTATCTTGCGTTCGGCTATCGTTGAAACCAAACAGCCAAAATTGGCTGCTGGAGGCCACCCCGATCTCGCTAGTTGCGGCGACAGCAGCGTGTAACGCCCGCGAGAGGCGCAAAGCGCAACAGATACCCTCAGGTGAGGAGAGAGAGCGGCGGTCGGATGCACCATGTCCCCCAGATTCGGCTCGCCGAGCCGCGCAAGGGATACCACAGACACTGGCGCGAAGCGAGTGTGGACGAGGCGATATGATTGTTCGCAAGATGAACCGCTGTCGCGGGGCGCTGCAGAATGGTGAATGCCGTGAATAGCAGATCGTGAACCTAACTGCGAAGCGAAAGCGGCAACGCCGGAGGATGCCAGGACTCGAATTCGTGCGGTGACTACGGACACGACTGGAGTCCGGATGCTCGTTATGGACGTCACCCAAGGTGCACTAAGGCAGTTACCTAAAGTCCTGGACGCGACGGACATTTATAAACGCGACGAGCACGCATGGCGAGGTGATACTAAAAACATCAGGGGCAGCAGCTCTTTGGTTGTTGGTTTGGGGAAGAAAGGCGGTTCCATATGGATTTGCAAAGAGGCGCAAGATGTCTCTGACAACATGGGGATTGGTCAGAGATTTCCAGCACAGCAATGGCAGATTTGCGCGTTTGTATCAGGGTGCATGATTTCATATAGGGTGAGGGGATCACTTTTGTTTGAAGTCGACATACACGAAACTTTATTCTACTTCCCGAGCCACGTTTGATCAGCCCAAGCATCTTCGTGTTTCGATCGTGTGTGGTCTTGCGGGGGCTCCCTGCTGGCCCACGAACCTCACAAATCAAGCCGCACCTCGATGTGACGCTCGGCAACATCGATGCCCAGCCGCCGTTCACGAAAGTCCATACCGTCAAAAGGTACCAGACGTGGCACGTTTCGGCAACCCATGTCAGCGGCGAAGACGGAGTCGTCTGGTTGGAGTTGCTGGAAATCTCGAACGCCCCGTCACGTCCGTCAAGCTTGAAACCAGCCCTTGGCTGCGCCTCGGGAGCTCCACCGAGTGGCAATGTTTGGGACGAGTGCCTGCAGTGGCATTTGGCTAAAAAGCCCAGAGCAGTCCAGGCTTCAACCCAGTGCAGCTCCAGTTTCAGCTGACTTAATTACTTCAGCCGTTACGCAGAGGTTGGGTGCTCTCAAGGTTCAGCACTAGCTTGCATTCAGGCGACCTTAGTGGTCCCTCCTAGCATCTTCTGAGCCATGCTTTGCATGTGTTAGTGATTCCACGTTTTTTTTTCTTCTTCTCTTTATCTAGTACCTAGTTCTAGTAATAGTGAAGATGACGAACAAGTGGTTGAAGTCGCTTTTCCGCTGTAAGCCCCAGCCTGCGAAGATTAAGCCTGAGGTGAGGGGTCCTATTAGATTGGACAATCATCGTATTTCGCGGTATCCTGAGTGTCCTTTCGACTTACAATTTCCTGTATTGTCGTCCTATCAATACTGACACTGTCTCTGACCGACTACCACAGGAACTCCTCGAGGATGATTTGTACTCTGAAAGCGCATACTCAAAGGACGAAAGTGTAAAAGCAACGAAAAGCTTCAAGTCTCCCGCAACATCTGCCATTTCTGCTCATGAATCATCGCCGGTCCAGTCTTCGCGAACAGTTCCGTCCTTCTATATCAATGCAGATGGATCAAAAGCTCGGGTTCCTGCTTCACCATCTGCTTCTCGCTCAGCTGCCAGGTCGCCTTCACCTTGCAGTCGCTCCGCCAATCCAGCATCCCCCTCCACCAAGGAGCCTGGACATGGCTCCGCCTCCCGCTTCACAGCACCTCAGTCACCCTCTACCTCTTGCACCTCTGTTACCATGCCTCCCCCAGCAATTTCTCAAGCCTCAGCCTCGTATGGCCGCTCATATCGCTCAAAGTCTGCTGCTAGATCTGCTGCTGAAGCGCCAACGTGCTCCTCGGGCGTGTCGCTCAAATCTTCTCCCAAGCGGGAATCGAGCACCGCAACATCTTCATGGTCTGGCCGGCGCATGTACAGCGCCACAAAGAAGCAATCAATAGCACCTGCTATGTCAGCTGAGTCTGCAGCAGCCATCAGGATTCAGACTGTGTATCGTGGTTATCTGGTAAGCTTTATCAACTATGCTGACGCGCAGTGCACATCTCATCTCTAACAAAGAGTTTCTGTTATTCATGGCTTGTCTTGTGTTGAATGGATGTGGCGTCAGGCTCGTAAGGCTCTTCGTGCATTGAAGGGGCTGGTTCGCCTCCAGGCTTTGGTGAGGGGCCATATTGCACGGAAGCAGGCAAAAGCTACCCTTCGCTGCATGCACGCGATCGTTCGTGTCCAGGCTCGGTTCCGTGCCCGTCGGGTTCGGATGTCCAGGTTCGTGTCCCCGCATTCAATAGGAAGCTTAGACCCTGTCAGCCGTCCCATTGTTTTCTGACATAGGCCTTTCCTTGCTGCAGGGAGGGACAACTTGTCCAGCGGCAGTTGGAGAAGATTTCCCGCAAGTATCACCCTGAAGTGGTTCTCAAACGCAACGAGGTATGACTATATTCACCGAATTCAAGTGTCACGTCATCCAGGAAACTGTCTTGCTTTCTGCGATGTTTGACACTGACTCTCTTTGGTTTCAGGTTGGCTGGTGCGATGCTTCTGGAACCGTAGAGGAGATTCAGGCAAAGCTTCAGAGCAAGCAGGAGGCCATCCTTCGTAGGGAGCGTGCTTTAGCATATGCTGATTCTCGCTCGGTAAGTGTAACACAGGGTGAACAGTTCTTGCGTGCTGCTTTTCTCGCAGAACTAACTTCTGTTTTTTCGTTGCATTCAGCTTTGGAAGAAGGAGAAGCCTACCCAGCAACGCTCCATGGCATACATTGACTGCGAGCCCGACAAGGGTGGTTGGGGGTGGAGCTGGCTGGAGCGCTGGATGGTCGCGAGGCCGTGGGAGAATCGTCTCATGATGGCGCACTATCAGGCTGTTAACCCCAAAGCCAAACGTCAGGGAGCACTCCGTCTGTTTGAGGCTCAGTTAGTGGAGTCCAAGCCCCACCGCACTGTGGAGCTGGTGGACATGGGCAAGTGCAAGAGCTGCGGCCGCCGTGTCCTTGTCAAGCCCTCCGTGGCACAGGCAGCCAACGCCGCAGCTGCTGCTCAGGCGTCCGCTAATGGCACTGCGCCCTCTAAGGCAATTCCCCACACCTGCAACATCTGTGCCCCCACGGTTTCCTGGGCCGCCAAGGTCGGAGCCCTTCCACCCGCGACCACGACCACTGGCAGCAACCGTGGAGCAGCAGCTGCGATGTCTCGGCTGTCGCTTGGAGCTTCGCATGAGCCACAACCCCTTGCAGATGCTGTGATTGGGTCCAGGTCGCTGAGTCGATCTGCTAACCGTTCAGCTTCGAACTCAGGGCCCCATGCACCACTCTCCCCATCAGCATCGTTCAAACGTGCCAGCGCATCGCCACGTATTGTTCCTCACTTCATGGAGACTACTGAGTCCACGCGCGCTAGGACGAGAGCTAACAGCACACCCCGAGGGCGCCAATCTGATGGTTTTGGAAGCAAGCGAGGACCGACGCCTCAAGAAGCAGGGGGTGTCCTTGCTCCCGTAGTGCTTGGGCCCCAAGCTGAGACATCAGCAGTCCACGAGGAACAGCTATCAGACTCACAACAGTGAGACGCTACACGTGCCTTGGACACACAGATTTCACACCACATTGCAGTTAGCATAGTTTTCTTCCACTACTGACTTCATAGCAGGGCTATTTGCTTTATGTGATTTCCCACAGCTTGTATTCCCTTAGCTATGTTTCTCACATGCCATTGCACCTTTGTGTCTAGCCGTAATAAGGGTCCCAAATTGCCCAGTTTGGCAAAGGCTATTCTGGGGATAGGCATATAAGCAAATTAGGGCTTTAATGAGATTCAGATACTGATTCTTGGATGTCATGCATACGCTGGTATGCTCTAATAAGTGGATATTTAATCTCCAATTTTGTCCACATCACACTTTACCGTGGGTCACAACACAAAAGCAACAGCGTATGGATGTCAAATACCAAGTATGCTGTAATCCGGAAAATGGAGAATTTTTAGTTGCTTACAGGCGTTATGTTATTTATATTGATATGAGGTGCAGAACCACGCCAGCGCCAGGAAACACACCAGAGTCACTGCAACGTGGGCAGAGGGTGTGTCCACGCCAGCAGCTTTCAGCACCAGCATAATTATTGATTTCAACTCTGGTGCAGTTGTCAGCTGACGGAGCGTTCTGTTGGCTGGTCAGCCACCAACTCTCGCGGTGCCAGTTTTGTTTGTCAGTCTGACGAAAAACAGTTTCTCACTGCGCCTCGGCTCGGCGTAGATCACTCGCACAGCCGACAAATTAGTCGCTACTGTCGCATGAAGCGCGTGAACCTTCTTCAGTGGTTCGCCGAACTTGCTGTGCCCGTCGTCAACGACCGAAATGCGATGACCTCACAAAGCCCAGCTGTCGCCCAAGCCGTGCCACAGACGGTTGTCGTCTACACCGTCGTTTAGCCGTTTGTCGCAATGGAAATCCTCCGTCATCAGTCAGCGCGTTCACGGCAGCACTGAGCCAGGAAGCTTGTCTGGGCGGAAACCTTGTGAGCTGCGCTACGCGCCACCGCGCGTTGCTCCCCTGGCGCTGCCTCCCTCCCATCCCGCCCCACGTGAATCGCAACAATCCCATCCCATCCCCTTCGGCCTCCATCCGCCTCCACCTCCGCGCCACCCGCTCCACCCCTGCCGCCAGCCACGCCACTCTCTGCTGCTCGCAGCTCCTACAAATCCACCTGCTGCGAACACAGTCGGACGTTCCGAATTCAAGTAACCCCTTCAATACTTCTGCTAATCTCTTCAGCGATAGCCATAGCGTTCAGCACAGAACGATCCACCATTTTTTAGTCAGTTTGCTTTCAACTAACTCTTAAGCCACGCGAATTATTCATCCAGCTTGGGTCTCTTACAAAGCCATTTCGACCGGTCGGAGTTCTGCCGTCCTTTTGTTGCGATACGCATATCCCTGGCCGACACGAGTCATCGGGACAATGGCTTCGTCGCGAAAGCCGCTGTCATTGTTGATCGCCGTCGTCGCGCTACTAAGCATGCCTTTCGTCAGTCGCGCTATAAGCAAGGTGGACATGCTGCAGGAGCTGGTGGTTTACAGCGAGGACGACGCCTTCACGTTCGCGGAGCTCGAAGCGCAGCAGGCGGCCAACGACGAGGAGATCAAAGCCGCCGCCATCGCGAACGCGTTCCACCATCTGCACGGCTCGGAGGACTTCAGCGGCGCGGAGGACGACGATTACGTTTCCGTTTCCTCGACGCGCGAGTCGGAATCAAAGACAATGACGGTCACCGCAGCGCCAACCATTCTGGACGCCGTGTCGCAAACCTTGTCGAAGCGGTTGAGAGGATTTTTCGGCTGATCGAGCGAGCATCGCGCGGCTGAAGGGAAAATGGCGAGTGATTAACGACACGAGGCAGTATCGCTCATGCTGCCTGATAGTGAACGGGACAAGAAGACAATATCGCCTGACTGAGCTGGCTGCGGCCAGTAATCGCCATACCTGATGTATCATAGTCCTAGTATAATAGGTCATCGCGCACATGCCGCCGAAGGCGTGCGTGCAACCATACGACTTGTGCGGCAATTCGCACAAAAACTTATACTGGTGCCCTGCGTGACGATGCAATGTGACTGTTATCAATACAAGCACTATGCTAACGACGACCTTGCATGCCTGACTCTCTCTCGTCCACCTTCCCCCTTACCTCAACAACAACCACAGTGAATCCCTAACCATTGTGCTACACCCCGGCAGTCAAATGGCCAAGTAATAATGTGGATTAATAAAAATGTGTTGATTATGATGGCAATTACATTGGGAGAAAGGCGGATAGCTTTGACATGCTTCAAGTTACACCATGCACCAAAACATGCATGGCTGCAGTGATAGCTCAAGGCAATCTCTAGGCACGGAAGCAGAGGAGGCGGAAGAGGGAGGCATCTCTGCCTTCCCCAGGGAACGCCGTCCCCACCGCTGCCTGCATCGCCCTCTCCACACTTCCCCCAACGCGCTCTGCCACCTCTCCCTCCGCCACCTCTAGCCCCGCTGCTGCCGCTGCAGCCAGCACATCAGGCTCGAGCACCTGGCGCGTGATGTGGCACAGCAGTAGCACCGGCACGCGCCTGCTCTTGTCCCGCCGTGCCAGGAGGCGGGCGGCGGACTGGAAGAGCAGCGGCACGGCGGCACGCACATACACCACGTCGGCTCCCAGGATCACATCAAACCCCCTCCCCTGCTGCGCTGTGGTATAAGCAGCCTCGGTATCGTCTCCCTTCATACTGCTGCCTCCGACAGGGGCTGTGCGTGCATGGCTCCCTTCTGTACTGGCTGTGCTCCCCCTTCCCTCCTCCTGCACATGACCCTGATCCACCCCTATCACATCATGAGAGGGCAGCAGCTGCCTTACTGCTGCCTCGTCACCCTCATCGCCCCACCGCAGCCGGCACACCTTGATCCTGCCCGTCTCAAAGCTCCCCGCATTCAGCTCCAGATTCCCCGGCAGCAGACTCAGAGCACTCTCGTCCCCATCTGTCGCCACAATGACCCGTGGCGCGCTGTGAGTGGCTGCGAGTGAGCAGAGTGCGGCGCCGCCCGCGCCGAGCTCGAGGACGGAGGCGTGGCGGGTGAGGGCGGGGTGGGCGAGCAGCAGTGCCGCCAGCACCTGAGACGACTCCCACAGCAGGCGGCCTGTGCTGCCGTGCGTGTGCTGGTGCTCGCGGGATAGCAGGCGCACGCGCAGCGGCAGGTGCGCGAGTGAGAGGGCGTGGTCCTGGGGACGAGGGTAGACAGGTGGGGCGGTTGTTGGGGTGGATGAGGTTGAGAGGCAGGTAATATCAGGGGAAGAGGAAGGAAGGGATGGGGACAGGGAAGAAGAGGGCGAAGCAGGGGGCAAGGAAGCACCTCTAAAGGGGGGTCGGAGAGGAAGAGGCTGCTGCAGTCCACCTCACATGCGCTCTCACTGCCGCCCGTGTCACTCTCCTCTGTGCCTGCTCCTCCCCTGCCATTGCCGTCCCCTCGCACAACATTGCTCCCACTTCCTCGTCTCTCCTCCTCCCCGCCTTCCCGGTCATACGTCCCCCTTGACTCAACATCCTCCACAGCAGTGGCAGCCGCCTCACAAGGACTAGCAGCAGCAGCAGGAGCGGCAGTGGCAGCGAGGGGCAGGCGGAAGACTGCTTGGATCCACCGCCTGGTCATGCCACAAGGGGGCGGGCAGCAAGAGGTTGAGGGAGCATGGGGGTGGGAGCAGGGCACAGTGGTCATGGGAGCAGGGCACAGTGGTCATGGGAGCAGGGCACAGTGGTCATGGGTGTACGGGCAAGAGGGACGTTCCACAGAGCACACGAGTGGTGGGGAGTTGTGTGCAGAAAATTGAACAAGTCAAATGAAGCGACTGTGTATGTCAGCAGCAGCACCTACCACGTCAGCAGCACCTGCCACGTCAGCAGCACCTGTGCATGTCGATCTGTCGTGCGCGGTTGGTGACGGTGCGTTCACACACGCCCATGTGCACGCACTGCAAGCCTGCCCCCGCAAACAGCTCCCCCAGTGCTGCCTCCGTGAAGTAGTATGCTCGCTGATGTGACCATAAATGAACATGGGGCGCAGAGGGATATGGGGCATGGAGGGACATGGGGCGTGGGAGAGACATGGGGCGTGGGAGAGACATGGGGCGTGGGAGAGACATGGGGCGTGGGAGAGACATGGGGCGTGGGAGAGACATGGGGCGTGGGAGAGACATGGGGCGTGGGAGAGACATGGGGCGTGGGAGAGACATGGGGCGTGGGAGAGACATGGGGCGTGGGAGAGACATGGGGCGTGGGAGAGACATGGGGCGTGGGAGAGACATGGGGCGTGGGAGAGACATGGGGCGTGGGAGAGACATGGGGCGTGGGAGAGACATGGGGCGTGGGAGAGACATGGGGCGTGGGAGAGACATGGGGCGTGGGAGAGACATGGGGCGTGGGAGAGACATGGGGCGTGGGAGAGACATGGGGCGTGGGAGAGACATGGTGCGTGGGAGAGACATGGGGCGTGGGAGAGACATGGGGCGTGGGAGAGACATGGGGCGTGGGAGAGACATGGGGCGTGGGAGAGACATGGGGCGTGGGAGAGACATGGGCGTGGGAGAGACATGGGGCGTGGGAGAGACATGGGGCGTGGGAGAGACATGGGGCGTGGGAGAGACATGGGGCGTGGGAGAGACATGGGGCGTGGGAGAGACATGGGGCGTGGGAGAGACATGGGGCGTGGGAGAGACATGGGGCGTGGGAGAGACATGGGGCGTGGGAGAGACATGGGGCGTGGGAGAGACATGGGGCGCGGGGGGAGAAGGGGGAAGAGGCATGGATAGATGACAGCATCAGCTGACCACATTATCAGCCCCCACCTCCAATCACGGTGCCATCGCCCCCCCTCCCCACACACACACACTCACGGTGCCATCGCCCCCCCTCCCCACACACACACACTCACGGTGCCATCGCCCCCCCTCCCCACACACACACACTCACGGTGCCGTCGCCGCGCACATAGAAGTTGTCGGCGATGCGCTGCTCCTTGCGCCTCAACCGCTCCTGATGGCACGGCACGGTCGTGGGGAGGCGGGACAGAAGGAGATAGACTGTTGCAGTGAATGGTGGCACGGCAGCAGGACGCCGTGACAACCAACATGGATCGACACACGGGGTTGCTGACCTGTACCCATGCATGGCACCTGACCCACGCACCTGAGCAACACACCTGAAAACACATCTGAGAAAAACACCTGAGAAACACACCTGAGAAACACACCTGAGAAACACACCTGAGCCACTCACCTGAGCCAGGTCGCCGGCAGCATAGTCTCGAACCAACACATGCCCGCCTGGCTGCATGCCATGCCATGGGGTGCGGAAAGATGGGGCAAGGGGCGGGTGTGAGGGGGTGAGTGTGGAGAAAAGATGCAGCAGAAGGCAGATGAGAGGGCGCGTGGCAATGACAAGAGGCTCTCGTGAGGAGGCAAGGGATGGCAGCACGGCAGCCAAAGAGCATGTGCCGGCACGCAAGGGGACGGGGCGAGGCGAGGGGACCTGCCTTGAGCACAGTGGCGACGTTGGCGACGGCGAGAGGCATCTTCTCAGGTGAAATGGCAGATAGCACAAACACCTGCACATGGGGTTGGCGAGAGGAGCGCGGTGGTGAAAAGAGATTGAGGTGAAGTGATGGAAGGTGGTGCGATGTGATGCCATGTTATGATGGAAGGATTTTCGCACGGCATTAACTTGCCAGCCACCCACCATGGTAACCACATCCGCTTGAGATGGCGGGCACACTGCAGGGCACTGCGGCCGGCAGCACGTGCATCCCCCCCCACCACCACTTCTGTCATCGTTGCTGCTACTGCTGCTACTGCTGGCGGTTGCGATGGCAGTGGCGAGGGGGTCCGCTGTGATGTCCGCCACGAATGCTCTCAGCCTGTGCGCGTCGTAGTGCTCACTGCCCTGCCCGCCACCATGCCAGCACACATGCAGAGGGAGAGACACACACATACATACATACATACATACATACATACATACGTACGTACATACGTACATACATACATACATACATACATACATACATACATACATACATACATACATACATACATACATACATACATACATACATACATACATACATACATACATACATACATACATACATACATACATACATACATACATACATACATACATACATACATACATACATACATACATACATACATACATACATACATACATACATACATACATACATACATACATACATACATACATACATACATACATACATACATACATACATACATACATACATACATACATACATACATACATACATACATACACATGCACACGCGCACACACAGATGCAGAGGGAGAGCGAGAGAGCGACACAGAGACGCTGGTCATGAGGGTGCTGCCATCAGTGCATGCAGCATGCACGCACGCAGCAAAAGCAGCTTGCGAGCACCACACGCACACACATCAACGTCCCCACACGTCCCCCTTCCCACCATCCGCTGCACCTCCCCACCATGTACACCCATCTCCACCCCTGAACGCACGGTGACGAGCGCAACAGCGCGCGGGGAGAAGTCGCAGGCGAGGGCGAAGAGGTGCGGGTCGTCTGCGAGCAACGGGAACACCGTGTTGCCCGCCCCGCACCCCACCTGCCCACCCAGGGGGCCACACAGGGGGATGGGGGAAGGACAGGGGGGAGAGGGGGGAACATGGGGGCGACGGGGAAATACAGGGGAAGAGGGAGCACGCAGGGGGGATGAGAAACGGTGGCTTAGGGGTTGGAATTGCGGTGCCGGTGAGGACAGAGGAGTGGTGAGGGGTGGTGGGGAGGGGAGGCAGCAATGCACAGGGGGATGAGGGAGGGTGACGCACAGGGCAACCCACTCCCCACTCCCCACTCCCCACTCCCCACTCCCCACCCCCCCACTCCCCACTCCCCACTCCCCACTCCCCACTCCCCACTCCCCACCCCCCATCCTCCCCCCCTCCCAACACTCACACCACTCGCCTCACCTCCAGCACCACTCGTCGGATGGCAACGCACCGCTCGCACACACATCCCCCCTTGCCGCTGCCACACCCACCACCGCCCCCTGCGCTCCCCACTCCTGCGCCTGCATCCCCACCCCTAGCCTCCCTTCCCCCTCTCTCTGCCCCGCCCGCGTTTCCCCCCTCTGTTCCCGCCTCCGCAGCTCCCCCCGCGCCAGCATCTCCGCGGAGGAAGAGCGCCCACTCGTGGTGCAGGTAGTGGCGATCCTTGAAGAACTGCGCGGGGGCACGGGGCACGGGGCGGGGGGGATGAAGGGATCCGCGGGAGGAGAGGGCGGGATGAGCGGGGAGAGGGGGGAAAGGACGAAACGGACTGAGCAACGCAGAGTACGAAGCGAGGGGGGCTTTGGCAACGGGGGAGGGGAAGGCAGTGAGTGGGGGGGGGGGGAATGCAGTGCTGGCCTGAAGCGCGGCAAGCGCAGTGGCAGCGGCAGCGGCCAGCGCTGTGCGGCATGTGGCAGGCGCTGCTCACCCGCTCGCCGTTGCGCTTGTAGAAGAGATCCCAGTAGCGCCTCGCCTCCCTCTCGTACTTGCCTGCCCCGCCCCGCCCATCACACACACATGCACACATTGGCACATGCAGCCATGCATGCACGCACACACGCAGAGTGCAGAGATGAGAGGCGACTGGCGAGGAGCGGCTGCTCCACAGGTTGGGCGAGCCAGCAATGGACCATCCCGCAACTCCGCATCTCCCGTGTTGCAACTGCGCCCCCGCTCCCCGCTCCCGCCCCCGCTCCCGCTCACTACTTCCCCTCCTTTGCCCCCGGGCCTCGCCCACTAATACTGAATTGGCTCCACTACCAACCCCCAACCCTCCCCCCCCCCGACACTGCCCCGGCCCACCAAACCGGCTTCGCATGCGACGCACCCTCGAACCAAATGTCAAGCGCGTTCCGCGCCGGAAATTGCGCTTGTTCGCCTCGGTCTACCTCGAAACTTAAACCCCGGAACCTGGAACCCTGACATTGACATGAATCCGGCTGGCATGCACGAGCAAACCAGACCAGCCAGCAGGGAACGGTAACCACGACAGTTGCACACCTCGCATGAAATCCGAGACGCAGTCGGTGTGCTGAGGGTAGATCTGCACACGTGGCGCGGCGTCATTGGGTGTGGATCCCATGGTCAACAGCGCGCGGAATCGTGATGAAGGGTCTTATTTAATTCGCATACTTTACGCGTTGTAAGCATCCGAATAAACAGTTTTTGTAACATGCATCTACACCTCCAGTTCGCCTTTTGCCTCGGATGGTCGGTGCGTCCGTTTCTTCTCCTCACCCTGTCACATGACCTGCAGGGGGGAATCGTACCGCATGCGTACGGTTCTGTAGGTGCTGTGACTGTAGATTAGGCAGAAGTTTTGAGGCGTCCTAGTCAGCCACCACCTGCCAATAGCGGGTGCGCAACGTTACGCGTTCGCTCGTGGAATTCTGGCCGAAGCACCGCGAACGAAACATGTAGCTCCTCTTGTCGCCTTCTTCTGGGCGGGTTGGAAGCGGATGGAACGTGTGCGAGCAGGTTGGTGGTTGTGGGTGCAAGCACAGCCGTATGGTTAGGTCAGGGGTACAGTAGTGTACAGTCATCGTGCTTGCTTGGTGGTGGTGTGGTGAAGTGGCGAGCTACATTCAGCGCGTTACGTCTCATCTCTTCGTACGTTGGGACCAAAACAGCAGACAAACAACATCCGCCTCCCTCCACTCCCTCCCCTCCCTGCGTTGACTGCAGAACTCCTCCGCTCTGTTCCCTTGCCACTGGAAAGGCGTCATAATGGCCGCCGAATTATCACGTGCCCCGCGCGCCTGGCATGGAGAACAGGGAAAGAGCAGTGCGCGGCAGCCGCGCGCCAATGATGGCCTGCTCCGCGTTGTTCGCAGTCACAGGGCCCGTCGCCGCTGAGAGCAACGACCGCCGCGTGCCATGGCGGTCAGCGGAGCATACAGGTCTCGGTTTGTCGTTAAAGATTCGATTTCGTCGTGAGCACGTCGCTGCTCCTCGCGAACTGACGCGGGGCAGGCAGGAACGAGCTCGCGCACGTGGCGGGGGGAGAGGGCTGGCCGCGTAGGGCGATAGTCGCTGTAGCGCGCACGGCGCAGTGCGCGGGAGTAGCGCCTGCCGGGAAGGCTGCCAGCATCCCTTGATGGCGCCGGCGCGACCTGCGCTTGCTGCTGCTGCCATTAGCATGTCGGTCGGTGCGAAATATATCTGCTCGTCCCCGCGACTGCTCTCGCACGAGCCACCTTGGGATTACGCGAGCAACCTTCCTCCTTGCATACACCCCTTCCCCTCACAGCCACACCTAGTAGTACCGCTGGGCGTCGACGACGCAGCTGAAGCCATGGCGACGCAGTGCGCGACAGCAGTCAGAAGAGAGCCCTGGGAGCAGTGCGGCACCGCCGACATCGCGGAAGTTGCCTTGCCGTGCGGCGCCATAGACCATTCTCCGCAAACCGCGCTGAGGCCGTCGACAGACACTCCGACTGGCGTCCTTCTCCACGTCGACCGCTTGCTGCCGTTCGCGACGGCGCCGTTGGACGCGGAATACGCGGTGGCGCAGGAGGAGATGGGGCGCGGGGAGTTCGGCGTTGTGCGCGCGTGCATGGCGCGCCGCAGCGGGCAGCTGCTGGCGTGCAAGTCGGTGGAGAAAGCGCGCCTGTGCGGGGAACGGCGCGGCGATCTCGAGATGGAGCTGCTCTGCATGGCGGCGCTGCCGCCGCACCCGCACGTCGTGCGCCTCGCGAGCGTGCACGAGGACGCGCGCCGCGTGCACCTCGTCATGGACCTCTGCGACGGCGGCGACCTCTTCGACCTCGTCGCGCGCGCCGGCCGCCTGCCCGAGCGTTGCGCGGCGGCGGTGCTGGCGCAGGCGGCAAGCGCGGTGGCATGGTGCCACGCGCACGGCGTGCTGCATCTGGACGTCAAGCCCGAGAACCTCCTCCTCGCCGGTCTCTCCGCCGCGCCCCTGCTCGCGGACGCGCACAGCGCGGAGGCCGCGCTGGCGCACGTGAGCGTGAAGCTGGCGGACTTCGGGCAGGCAGTGGCGGTGGGCGCGGGGGGCAGGGCGCGCGGGCTGGCGGGATCATCCCTCTACATGGCGCCCGAGGTGGTGTGTGGGCGCGAGTATGACAGCGCGGCGGACATGTGGAGTGTGGGTGTGGTGCTGTACGTGATGCTGGCGGGCTACGTGCCCTTCTACGGCCCCGACCTGCCCCACGTGTTCCTCGCCATCTGCCGCGGCCACCCCGACCTCACGGGCGAGGCGTGGGAGGGCGTGTCAGACGAGGCGAAGCAGCTCGTGCGGTCGCTGCTGTCTGTGGACCCTGCCTCACGCCCCTCTGCCTGCGACCTGCTCTCCCACCCATGGCTCACTGCCCACGTGCCTGCAGCGACGGCCGCAGCGAAGGTGGCGAGGGAAGCGGCAAATGCGGCTGTGAGGGACGTGCTGACGCATTTGGCGTGTGCCACCTCCTCTGGTGCTTCCACCACCCCTGCCTGCCCCTCCCTCCATGCCGCATCGTCATCATCTTCTCTTCAGTCCACGGCTCACTTGGTTCCCTCCGCAGTGCAAGAAGCGTCTGAGTCATGCTCCATGGATAGCAATTCACTGGCGGCAGAGGGAGGCTGCATGGCGCCTCACCTGATGGACTGTGCAGGGAGCAGCGGTGCTGCAAGGAGGCCGAGAAGACGGCTGTATCGGTCTAGAGCAAAGCAGGCCCTCACAACTAACTGCTGATATGCACACAACTAACATATGACCATTACGTGTACAGAGAATTTTGTCAATAATTAAGAATCGTAGGCCTGTGACTTTGTTGTAAGCAGGCACTTGTTCTCGATAACCTCTATTTTTGAGAAATTACACCAAACACCAGTCATATATGGTCTTCGATTCATAAATGGTATTCAGCTCAATCGGCTTCTAAGGAGCCGGGAAGTTCGGTGGCTTGGAAGTCGTGCATTTTGCACACGTGGCAGGCCAACATTTGCAAATGCCTTCGAGGCGCCAGCATGCGAGCCGCCAGTCAGCGAGGCAATTCACGCCTTCTTCCACAAAATGCATCCTACAAAATTCCTCAGTTGCGTGCATTAGGGGTGTATCTTTTGTTTCGTTCCGAACCAACTTTGCTCCTCAGCCTGCTGGACGAGCATTCTCGATCCCGATCTCAGTGCGTCTGCTCCGCGAGTCAGTGACGCACGCGGCTGTCAATTCAATCTCGAGCCCGCTCAACATCCGTGGACATGGCTTCGCGTCAAGAATCCAAGCCCAAGGTAGGCGTGCAGGAAGTATAGCTGCAGTAGTCTCCGTTCAGTATAACCCCTGGCATGGCGCATCCCGTCCCTCACGCCTCTCTGTCCGCTTCCCCTCCACCCATCAGGTGCAGGTGGAGGCGCCGACGGGGCACTATGAGTGCATCAAGCCGGAGGAGCAGGCGGCACGGGAGGGCCAGCAGAGGCAGGCGGGGCGTGAGGAAGGCATGCGCGAGGCTACCCACAAGTGAGTCTCGCATCTCTTCTGGCCTGGTCCTGTGCGAAATCCTCCAATCGTTCTCAAGAACTACCACGTCCATGCCCCGTAAATGTCATGCCATGCTAGGTGGTATAATTCAAGCCAGTTTTGCAACATTGCACTTAGGCCGTTGCAGACATGTGCAAGTCAAAGTGCACAAAGCTATTTAGGGATGCACAATTATGGGTTGGGTGTCATCTCCCATGTGTGTGCATGGTATGGCGAGCAGGTTGCAGGCATCCCATGGCACAGGCAAGCCCCAGGGGCACGAGGCAGCCTCTGAGGCGTCTGTGACCGCCCAGCAGCAAGCAGCCCAGCAGCAGGGCGCAGAGGCGGCACAGGAGGCACGGTCGGGGCTGACAGGCATGCTGGCGGGCATCTGTGAGAAGATGGGGCACGCTGGGGAGGCGCTGCTGGGGGGGGCGCAAACGGCCACAGAGGAGTCAGCACAGGCAGCGAGGGAGGGCGTTTCCCACACGCGTGCCTCTGCAGGGGTGCCCGCTGGCAGGGGCTATGAGCAGAGCAAAGACGCGCCATACACGGCCTCTCATGCGCCTGCCAGGGGCGCTGGCACAGCAGCGGGCGCGGCGAGGGGAGCTGGGGAGGAGGCAGGGCGAGCAGCAAAGGAGGGTGTTGGGGCAGCAGCACGCGGGGCGGGGATGGTGGCGGGGACAGTGCAGGGGCTGGCGGAGGAGGGGGGGGCTGCGGGGAAGAGGGGCGTGGAGGGGGCAGGCAGGGGGGTGGGGACGGCTGCAGGGGTGGTGCAGGGCGCAGCAGAGGAGGCGGGGCACGCTGCGAGGGAGGGCAGCAAGGCTGCTGCACGTGGGGCAGGGAGCGTGGCGGGTGTCGCAAGGGGTGTGGGGGAAGAGGCAGGCAAGGCTGCCAAGGAGGGCAGTCAGGCAGCAGCGAGGGGGGCGGGTACAGTGGCGGGCACGGTGCAGGCGTTGGGGGAGGAGGGCAGGGAGGTGGGCAAGCAGGCCATAGGCAGTGCGGCAAGGGGCGTGGGGGCAGTGGGAGGGACGGCACAGGCAGTGGGGGAGATGGCGAGCGAGGCAGCGAGTGAGGGGGTGAAGATGGGCGCAAGGGGAGCAGGGGAGGTGTATGGGACAGTGCAGGGTGCTGCTGACGTGGGCAGCCATGTGGCAAGCGATGTGGGGCAACAGGTGAAGGTATGTGGTGTGTGCTGCATGCTTCCTCTGCACCCCGGCCTCTGCTTCCATTGCTTTCATTCCGGCACCTTCACTCCTCCACTGCATGTACCCTCCACATGCCTCACATGCTCCATACCCTCCTTCCCTTAACTCTCTCATCGTTTTGCTCCCCTGATCCCGTGGTGTGGCAGCAAGGAGCGCAGGCAGCAGCGCAGGGAGCAGCTAGGGGGGTGGGTTCGGCAGCGGGGGTGGTGCAGGGCGCAGGAGAGGCAGCAGGGCGCGCAGCACTGGAGGGCAGGCGGGAGGTGGGGGATGCGGTGGGGGCAGCGGGTGTGGGCACAGCCGAGGCAGCCAGGGGCGTGGTGGGGGGAGCAACACATGCGGTGGGAACAGCAGCGTCAGCAGTGGGCGGAGGAGCATACGACACGGTGGAGGGCGTGGGGCAGGCCATAGGCGGGCTGGGGCTGACTGTGGCGGGGGGCGTGCAGAGCATGCTGGGGGGGGTGGCGGGGGCAGTGGGGGGGGGAGTGCAGTCGCTGGTGGACTCTGTCAGGGGCGCTCCCCATGCTGTGGGGGAGGCAGTGCAGGGGCACGCACAGCAGGTGCAGGCAGAGAGGGGATCTGGGGACAGTGGAACTGAGGGGAAGGGCGCGGAGGATGTGATATCACGGCGGGTGGATGTGGTGGAGGGCATGCGCATGGGCGGGGAGGATATTGCAGGCATCGTTGGTGCTGCAGGTGTGCCAGCGGGTGACATGGAGGGTGTAGAGGGGCTGCGCGTGATAGTGGTGACTGAGGACAAGGTGGTGCGTGAGTAGAGCCTCTCTCATCGGCACGGGCTACATTGAGGCAGTAATCAGTTAGTAGAGTAGTTGTGCTTGTACACTCACTCCTCCTATGAACACTGTGTATTTGCTGTATATACTATCATTGATATACACCTTGTTCTGAAGCGCTTATGGGAGTAGCTCACCTTAGTGCGCCATAGCAGCTGAAACTCAGAACCAATGACAGCAGCATGCTATCACTTGCTGACTTCCCCACCGTGCACTGCAGGAACTGTCGAAGCAGCCAGCACTACTTAAGGTTGGAGAGTGAAAGTAGACTTTGCTATGGCAGCTGGTACAGCAAGTGGGTGTGTAAGTGGGTGCGCTAGAGCAGGTCGAAGAAGTAGTCGAGGCCCTGCCCGATCTCCCATACGGACAGCCCCGCACCCCACGCACTGGCCTCGCGCATGCGCAGCGCCAGCGAGAGCAGCGAGGGGAAGAAGGCGGCGCGGCGGATGCCCGAGGGGCGTGCGGTGAAGGAGACGGCGTGCTCGCACGCGTCTGGATCCCACGATACTTGCGGCTGGTAGCGCTGCAGCACCTCCACCACGTCCCTGCCCAGTAGTGGGCGGTAGTCTGGTGCGGTAAGAGAGGAGGGAGAGGGGGGGGAAAGTGGGGAGGAGAGTGGGGGGGTAGAAAGGGGGAAAGAGGGGGGGGGAAGGCATGGTGGGAGGTAGTGGAATGTGAACGCTGGAGAAGGTGTGGTAGCGTTGGAGCAACGAGGGGCAAGGAGGCCCGGAATCCAGCGGAACTGCATAACAGAAGGGCAAGGAAATCAATGGACAGTGTGGTGCAGGGCAGGGCGGTGGAGTGACCTTGATTGGGCCCGTACTCATAGCCGTAGAAGTTGAGCCCCACCAACACCTTGCGCGCTATCTCCCTCACATCTCCTCCCACCCCACCCCTCTCCCCCTGTTCCTCCTCCTCCTCCTCATCCCCCACAAAGCTCCTCAGCTCGCGGCCTCGCCGTAGCTCCTCCCGCCACTCCTCCTCGCCCACCCCCATGTCCTCGCCATACGCGCCTGCGTACCGCGGCGTCACCCCCGGCAGCAACGCCTGCAGGCACAGCCGCACCCACGGCAGCGGGGCAGTGGGGCCGGGGTGGGAGGGCGGGGAGAAGTCGTAGGTCATCAGGGAGAAGCCGTCCACGTGCGCATGCAGCGCTGCTAGATCCGCAGCCGTGAACGCGTGCGGAGGGAGGCTGCGCTGCTGCTCGGGGGGAAGGGCAGCGGCGGCGTTGGGGGGGATGACGAGGAAGAAGGAGAGGCGTGCAGTGGGGGAGGCGGGGTTGGGCGTGGCATGCAGGGCGGAGCCGAGGCGGGAGAGGAAGGCGAGGGCGCGCGCGCGCAGCGGGGGTGAGGCGAGCAGCCCTGTGGCCGTCCATGTGGACCATGCTTCCAGCACTATGCCGTCCAGATGGTGCTGCCTGCCAGGGGCATGGGGCAACCGGATAGACAGGGGGAAAAGGGGGAACGGGGGAACGGGTGGGCCGGGGGGTTGGCTTGGGACAAGAGGGCGCAAAAAGTGGGAGGGAGGAGGGAGAGAGGAACGAGGGGAATTAAAGGGCGGTGATAGGGAGAGGTGGCAGGAGTAGGAGAAAGGAGGGAAGATAAGTGTGTGAGGGAGAGCGAGTGCACGCAAGGAATGGCGTGCTGACCTGCAGGTGTCAAGGAATGGCGTGCTGACCTGCAGGTGTCAAGGAATGGCGTGCTGACCTGCAGGTGTCAAGGAATGGCGTGCTGACCTGCAGGTGTCAAGGAATGGCGTGCTGACCTGCAGGTGTCAAGGAATGGCGTGCTGACCTGCAGGTGTCAAGGAATGGCGTGCTGACCTGCAGGTGTCAAGGAATGGCGTGCTGACCTGCAGGTGTCAAGGAATGGCGTGCTGACCTGCAGGTGTCAAGGAATGGCGTGCTGACCTGCAGGTGTCAAGGAATGGCGTGCTGACCTGCAGGTGGCAAGGATGAGGCGGATGGCCTCAGATGCGTCCTCATCAGAGCTGATGATGCCTGACGTGTCATGCGCCTCCAGCAGCACACGTGGCACCACCTGAGCGCCATCCTGGCGCACGGAGTCCATCCACGGCACGTCCACATCATGCCCGCCCGCCACCCGCAGCCACCCGCCCTCTCTGTGCGACCAGCGGTTGGCACATGGGGGTTGGGGCGAGAGTGGGGTGTGGAATGAGAGGAGGGTGGCACGCGATGGAAGGTGAAGCGAGGGAGAGAGGAGAAACAAGGGAATAAATAAACCACGAGCAAGTGGCGGTTTTTGGCATGGTGGCATTGGCACGGGGGTGTGGGTGCGTGCTGACCGTTTGAGTTGGAACCAGACGGGTGAGATGTGCGTCAACTTGTGGCGGAACTGCCGTGCCCTGTCGTAGCCTCCCCCGTTCCTGATGGGGGTGGGGCGCATGCCATGCACGCACAGCGCACAGCGCACGACAGGGAGTGGATGGCATTGACCCGCATTGCATGACGCTCCATGGGACATCCCTGCACGCCATGGCACAGCATGGCATGGCATGGCATGCGCCATCTCGTGGGTATGGCGGGCAACCATTGGCGACAGGGGTATTACAGGGAAATTTGCGACTGAACAGGGAGCGACTGATGTGGAACGGACCAGGGAGTGACGTAAGCGAGGACGGTGCCGTTGAAGTGGCGGTGCGTCGTGTCCTTCCAGTACCGCGCGTGCTCCTGTCCATCCACCGCGACGCATGCCACCGCGCAACGCAACACGCGCACGAGGGGGCACAGGCATGGGGGTGAGAGGCCAGCGGGAATGCGAGGCGAGGGTGGCAGAGCAGCAGAGGGAAACAGCGGGGCGAGACGGCGCAAGAAGCACTCGACCTTGAGAATGTCGCGATACGAGACGTCGGCGGTAACGAGGCGGCGCTCGAAGACGGACGACTCCACCGGCCCCTCGTCGCCAGGCGCGCTCGCCGCCGGCTGCTGCCGCCGCTTCACGCGCTTGCTGAGCGCGCCGACTGCCAGAACCGCGAGCGCTAGCAGCACGGCACGCGGCGCCAGCGCGCGACGAATGTGGCGAAAGGGAGCCATGGGTGGATGCCGCGAGTTGAAGAGCATGAGAGGAGGCAGGCTGTGGGATCTCTCGACGTGCGGAACGGCTTGGATTCGGCTTCTAGGAGAATCTCTTGCAGCTGATAAGGCGGGCTCGCTTTGTGTGGTACGCGTTGGGAAGCATTTCGTTTGATGACCAGGTCGTACGTTCGCGAATGTGCACAATTGAAATACGTTTGCATTATTCAGAGAAAGTAGATTCTCAAGGATATACTTGTTACACCTATTTCAAGAATTAACTAAAAGCGAGTCCAATAATATGCTAGAAAATAGAAAACCAATGCAGCCTAATAATAGCTACAGCAGCCTAATAATAGCTACAGCAGCCTAAGCTTTCAAATCAATGCAGCGAGCAACAGATGAGGGAGGGAGCAACGCGGAATGGATGTTTCCACGTGAGCGGCACAAAGCCAGAGGATCCCACCGGGGCACAGCAACAAGGCGGGGAGAGGTGCTTTGAATTTGCAGCATGGCATGGCATGGCTTGCAGGGGAGAGCAGAGCGCCTAGTGTGCATGGGTGCACGCTAGTCCGTGCCTCCACTCATGCCCCCTCGCCCACCGCTGCCATTCTGCATCCCCACTCCACCATTGCTGCTGCCCATTCCCCCCATCATCCCGCCGCCCAGCGGCTTCCCATTGGACATGCCGCCCCCGCCGCCCAGCGCCTGGGAGAGCAGCAGCTGGCCGAGCAAATTGGCTTCGGGTGGCAGAGACTGCAGCCCCGCCACCTGCCCCAACAGGTCCGTGGCCCCGGGGGCACCCGCGCCCTGCCCCATCAGCAGCCGACTCAACACCTGACTCAGTCCACCCTGCTGCTGCTGCTGTTGTTGTTGCTGCTGCTGCTGCTGCTGCTGCTGTTGCAGTGATTGTTGCTGCTGATGTTGCAACATTTGTGGTTGCTGCTGCTGCTGCTGCCGTTGCTGTTGCTGCTGTTGCTGTTGCTGCAGCGGGGGCGGCTGTCCCCCACCCCCCACGAGCTGCACCAGCTCCAGCAGCGAAGCACCGCTGAGCTCGCCCAGCGTGTTGGGCGCCTGGCCCTGCAGTGCGTGCTGCAGCGCCAGCTGGTTGCGAAGCGTCGCGTTGAACTGCTCCAGCAGCCCCTGCCCGCCCTGCCCCGCCTGCCCCGCTCCCTGATGCGTCTCCCCCATGCGCTGCTGCTGCTGCTGCTGACTCTGTAACGGGAGTGATAGCAGCGAGGACGGCTGCTGGGTCTGCTGAATGCTGCCGGGTGTGCCCTGCCCTCCGCCCATGGGCATCAGAGCGTTTCCCCCGGCCCCCAACATGTGCCCCAGTCCGCGCTGCTCCTGCAGGCTCCCCGCGCCCAATCCTCCCCCGACGCCCGCGCCGCCTCTGCCACCGACGGTGGCGTCGTTCTGGCCGTGCCTCACGCCGCTTTCCACGGCGGGCGGCGAGAACGTCCCCACCTGGTCCTTGCTGCTGCTGCCGCCGTCGCCGCCCCTTCCGCCGTCCCCCGCTCCGCCATGCATCGCCTGCGGCTGACTGGGTGGCGGCGCCTGCGGCTGCGCGCCCTGGCGCTTGCGCTTCTTCTTCTCGTACGACATGCCGCGCGCCTTGCCCTGCTGCTCGCGCGTGTCGCGCAGGTACACGCGCACGATGCGCGCGGCGAAGGGGTTGTTCTCGGGCTTGCCGCCGTTCTCCTCGTAGGCGGCGCGCAGGCGGCCGATGAGCGAGTCGAGGCTGCCCCACGCCTGCTTCATGGGGCACGCGCATGGGTGCGGGCCGCTCAGCCCGTAGAAGTGGCAGGCGTCGGCGTGCACCTTGGTTTTGCCGAACTGGTCGAGGTAGCGCAGGAACTCCACCACGTGCTGCGGACTGCACCGCGACATCGCCACGGGCGGCCGGTGGTTCTTCAAGTACTGCCCGAACGTGTTCCAGTCGCGCCGCTTCTGTGACTCGTACCGGCTCGACCCCACGCGCCCCCCGCTCCGCATGCCCACCGGCCGGCCCGCGCCGTCCATTCCCATGCCGTCGTCCGCGCCGTCATCGCCGCCCTGCTCCTGCTCGTCGCGCCCGCTTCCCCCGCCCTGCTCCCCATCGCTGCCGTCGCTGCGCGCCCCCATCCCAGCGCTTCCCGCGCCGCCTGCGCCGTTCTCCGCCTTCGGCGTGACAACGCCCGTTGCTTGGTTCGCTTGGCCAGCGCCGCCGTCAGTCGCGTTGCCGGTGGAGGCCATGAGTGGCGGGCTGCGCGCGGGGGCGGTCGGAACGAGCGAGAACGAGTCGACATTGCGCCGCTCCTCCGCCGTCGCTCCGCCGCCGGGCCCCTTCCCCGAGCCCACGCCCAGCGGCCCCGGGGGGGGCGCTCCGACGAGATTGGGCATGGCGGCGGACGCGGTGGTGCCGAGGAGCGACGCGACAGACGCCGCCGACAGCTGCAACGACCTCTGCTGCTGCTGCTGCTGCTGCTGCTGCTGCTGAAGCTGTTGCTGATACTGCGGCTGCTGGTACTGTTGTTGTTGTTGCTGCTGCTGCTGCTGCTGCTGTTGCTGCTGCTGCGGCGTGTTAAGAGGCGGCAGGTTACCAGCGGGCTGCGGTTGAAAGGCGGCGTGGCCGACCATCATGCTGAGCGACGCGTCGCCGGCGGCGCCGCCCAGCGAGCCCATGAGGTCGGAGGACGCCATGAGCCCCGATGACCCCATGCCGAAGTTGAGCAGCGGAAGGGCCGACCGCGCACCATCGCCTCCGCCCGACCCACCGGTCTCCGACTGGCCGCGGAAGTCCATCGGCGCACCGACGGAAGTCGCGGGGAAAAGGCTGGGGGTGAAACCCCCGGGGGAAGCGGAAATGCCGCCGCCAAGTGCGGTGGGTGCAAGCGGTGCGACTTCCGACGAGCGGAAATTCGACGACGCTGGAAGCGCGAGAGTCGCCAGATCTGCTACAAGGGGAGTCCCCCGCCGAAAAGCGTTACGCCGTCGCGATGACACACGATAATATCTCGAACACGGCGAAACGCTGAAGTGTGTAACCTGAAAGGCAGGAGACAGTAATGAAGCTACCAAAGAAAATCAGAAATAATACCACACAGAATAATATTAATCTACAAGAAACAGCGCAGCTGGCGCTTACCGGTCAAGTGAAACTCAACGAGGCGTGTGGAAGGAACACGAGCAACTGCTGCTGCTGCTGTCGGATCTGAGCTTTTGCTGGGAGCTACACTGATGAACAGAAAAGGGGGGTTTGGTTGGTCATGGACGAAGAGACGAGCGTGGAGCAGGTATTTGCAGGGTGTGGGTGGGATAAGTTTGTCGCTGTGTTGCTCGGTTGGGCTCAAATGTAGTGTTGCTTGGAAGTGTGTGAAGCGCAGCTGAACAGAAGATGCCCACAAATAGGAAAAGAAACAGGCTGAATGGCGCCGCACAAGGAAGCACAGTAGCTCACTGCACGCAACCCCTCAACCCCAGCAGTTGACGGGGAGCTGGGAGTTGGTTGGTTTGGGAGGGGAGGGACGGGCAGGGGGAGGCTTGCTTGCTGTAGTGGGGCACAGTGTAGAGGATGCAAACCCCCGCCAGCCCGCTTGCTCAGCTCCGCGCGGAATCCCAAGTGGGAGGTGCGGGTGCTGCGAGGAAAGGTCGTTGCGCAGGGTACAGAATGGGGTGAAGGCATGGGCTCTCTCAATTTATGGTTTTGCATGCCCCTTGAATGTCAAGAGAATACTGGTTGCAGTAAATACATAAAACATTACAGAAGTGGGCTGGAAGAGACCGCCTGAAGGCCTAAAAAATGAAAGTACACCACAAAGAAGACTTGAATCTTCTTAAAACCCGAAACCTGAATTACAAAAAAAGAGGGCAAACTGTGCACAGTTTGCCTGCCGCGCCCCAGAGTTCTGCCTGCAGTTGACTTCCGTTGAACAATTCAAGGCTTAGGCTTTAAGAGGGGTTGGAATTTTCCATTGCTTGAAACCTCACAGCAAGAGACCTCCAGACATGGTGGAATAGTGTGAATCGGCAGTGGAGATTGTGTACACTTGGGGTGACTGGCGATTGGTTTTTGCACTGTGCGGTGGACGGGTGGCTATGAGCGAGGACGACTCCAAAAGGATAAACTCGGTGAGGTGACTCGGTGCGGAAGCAAAAACTAAAGGTGTTGGGATGAGGCTCCTGCGAGCAAGGCACGCACAGTTCCCACTGTAGAAGGCTCCCTCACAAGTGCAAGTTGAGTTGAGGGTCTAACACAGCACACACCCTAACGCAACACTTAGCCCTACGCAAAAATCAGACGCCACCAAAACAGCAGCAGCAACCAATCAACAGCTCTAACACTTCCACTGTATTCTGTACAGCACGATGAATCTGTATTATCTGACTCCCTTCAGTTTGGAGGCAGCAAAATCTTTACGCCAGGAGCGACTGCTGTGTGATTTGCTGACCGGCTCCATTGATTGGCCAAGCCTGCAAGTAACCGTGGACGCACCAACTATTCGTCCTGACAAGACCGCAACCAGAGCACAGTGCAAACCGCGTTGCTCACAGCTCAGAGACGCGTTTCACGATTATGCTCATCAATGCAGATTGATGTGAGACCTAGAAAGATCCCGGCTATTGGCAGCATAATGTTTTGGAATTGCGACGGGGATGAACAATCACAAATTTCCTCAGGGGGTGTCCGAAGTGAAACGTCGACATCCGTTGCCATCCGTTTGGGGATGTCAGTCAATCCTGACGGTCGGAACTGTCGATCCGAGGGATGACATTTACCGATATCCAGCGACATCCATCGACGTTTCACTTCGGACATGCCATCAGCACAAAGCGTGACAAGTGCCCGCTTAAGAACGCTTAAATTTGTTTTTGTAACCGAACAGTGCTGCTCTGAATCTGAACAATACAGCGAGGTACGACTGGACAGAAATAATGGATTGCGGCTTAAGGGTACAGAAAAAAACTACAGTCCACTGACCACATTGTGGGAGCAGCTCCTTCAACTGCTGCCCAGAGCTCGCACAATCATTACGTTTTTGCCAGGTGTCCATCGTCTTCCCACTTTCAGCTCATCCTCGGCAAAACGACAACCTTCTAGTATCATGCAGGTCATCCCTTCCTCGAACGAAATTACATGAGAAACTTCTTACTTCAAAGTAGTCATGCATTTTTGTTCCGCTGTGAAATTCCGTAAAATCACATCTTAACGGCGCTCTCAATACTAGTTATACCACAACTCATTTATGTGGAATAATATGTGCACATATAGGATCATGTCTTTATCAATGGAGGAAAAAATACATTCCTGAGTGGATGTGGGCTGGGGGGAAAAGGGAGAAGGGTTTGGGGTTGGATAACGAAAAAAAAAAAAAAAAAAAAAAAAAAAAAAAAAACAACAACAACAACAACAACAACAACAACAACAACAACAACAACAACAACAACAACAACAACAACAACAACAACAACAACAACAACAACAACAACAACAACAACAACAACAACTACGCATTCTAAAATATATGTATTTGGTGGACGCTCGGGAATGAGGTGCTTGCGTTGTCACTACCGTATGTATACAATTTCGACTTGCCAATATTATATAGTCCACCTGTTATGGTGTTCTCAACGCTTTTGCCATTTCTTTGATTAACCTGCTGCGACCAGAAATAAATCGTAACCAGGATCACCTCATGAAGGTTCGCACACTTGTAGTCTAGTAGTGGTGTGTCCTTGACCTCAATAGCCGAGTGAATGTAAAATGCTTGAGATGATTAAAACATGCAAATACAACGATATAAATAAGAGTACAGCAGAATACGAATCGACCTGGCTAGCCATGTACTATAAGGGTACATTCTCTTATTCAAATTCATTCCCAACCGTGCAGCGCGTACAGTTACGAAAACTGTTCCCGCCAGAATCCTTCTGCCTGCAGCTGCCCGATGCCATCTACTTCGACGGTCCAGATGCATCTCAAATGTCTGACGCAGGCCCTCAGATATCAGCGTAAAACACGCTGATTAGGCTGATTTTGTACCTGTGATTTTCGTTTTCCCTGAAATTTCAGTATATCCTTTATGTTTGCACTGATTTTTCAGTTTAGCGTATAGGACTACCCTGACGAATTAGTGTATAGGTGTACCAGTTACACCGAAGCATCAGTATAATGTACCGAGTCACACTGATTCGGACTTACCAAAATGTGTGAAGTACGGGAGGAAAGTGCGCGTGCATGAGGCTTTAGTACTTGAGTCCCCGCCATACACTTCACAACATCTCACATACGGGAATTGACCCCGTGACCTTGCAAGTAAGGCGAAACCTTAGACAGCTACGTCACTAGTACTGGCCATAAATCTCAAGTACAACATTTGCTTCAGTTACCCATGAAATTAACCCTGACAAAATCAGCATTAACTAAACCCCCAACGCTGACTTGGTCACGACGTTGGGCAGGGCACGCTGATCCATCAGCATACCCTGAAACCAATCCGAGGGCCTGGTCTGACATTTCGAGTCAATTATGACTCTTCACATTCGTTCTCGATACTGCATGCTCCGGTCGGGAGTGTACTGTGTCAAACTCTTATGCTATAGTCTGTGTAGGCTGTAGTGGGGTAGACAATATGGGGTACAACACTTCTTGGTTTTCCTACTTGTACCCACCTGCTTGCTAATTCATTCATTCCTCATTCTTCACATGGTATAGAGCAGGTTCCCTCGTGGGAACGCTTCTCAGGGCCCACCACTGAACTCGATTTTTCCTGCCCGAGGCGCGCCCCGTAGGCCGCCCTCACGTCGCGCTCCCTTAGCGGCCCCTCTCACGTCCCCTCGCGCCACCCTTAGCGGCCCCGTCGCCACCCCTTACGGCCCCGTTGCCGTCCTTTGCGGCCCCATCGCCGCCCCTCTAGGCCCCTCACGGCCCCTTCGCGGCCCCGTCGCCGCCGCTCTAGGCCCCGTCGCCGCCCCTCTAGGCCCCTCGCGGCCCCTTCGCGGCCCCGTCACCGCCCCTAGCGGCCCCGTCGCTGCCCCTCTAGGCCACTTACGGCCCCTTCGCGGCCTCGTCGCCGCCCCTCTAGGCCCCGTCGCCGCCCCTCCAGGCCCCTTGCGGCCCCTCTGCGGCCCCGTCGGCGCCCCTAGCGGCCCCGTCGCCGCCCCAAGAGGCCCCATCGCCGCCCTTCGCGGCCACCTCGCCGCCCTTCGCGGCCCCGTCGCCGCCCCTAGCGGCCCTGTCGCCGCCCTTTCGCGGCCCCGTCGCCGCCTCTGTCGGCCCCGTCGCCGCCCTTCACGGCCCCTTCACCGCCGAGCCGCCTAGCAGCCGAGCCACCGAGCCGCCCAGCAGCCGAGCCGCCGAGCCGCCGAGCTGCCCAGCAGCCGAGCCGCCGAGCCGCCCAGCAGCCGAGCCGCCGAGCAGCTGCCGTCGAGCCGCCACTACCACTACCGAGCCGCTGCCACCGCTGTTGCAGCCCTGCTCCTCCCGGCGCGCCTCGGCCCTACCCACCCGGACTAGTGAGAGCCCTCCCTGCTAGACCACTGCTGTCATGGCTACCCCCAGTGTCCTTACCTTTGATGCTGAGGGTCGTGCTGTTGACTTCAAGGTCTAGGTCGATGACCTGAAGCTTTTCCTACAGTGCGATAGGGCAGACGGACTCTCCCTGTTCGATCTCACCTCTGGTGCCTCGCCTTCCCCGCCTGCTGATGCTGACAGCACTGTTCGCTCACAGTGGGCCACCCGCGATGCTGCTGCCCGTCTTGCTGTGCGTCGCCACTTATCGACCGTTGAGCGTGCGCACTTTAGTCAGTACAAGAGTGCTAAGACCCTGTACGATGCTGTAGTTGCACGCTACTTACCCTTGCCACTGCTGCTCTTAGCCGCCTCATACTGGCGTACCTGTTTCATGACCTCGCCGCCTTTCCCACTGTCGCTGACCTCGTTACGCACCTTCGCACTAGTGACACCCGCTACCGCGCTGCGCTTCCTGCTGAGTTCTGCGCCAAGAACCCCCCCCCCCATGTACATCACCCTCTACTACATAGTCACCCGGCTCCCTGACTCCCTTCGCTCGGTCAGGGACCACTTCCTCTCTGTTTGCCCCACCACACTGACCGTTGACCTCCTCGACAAGCGCTCCTGGCAGCTGAGAAGAGTATAGTCACTGTAGGAGCCTCTAGAGGTGACCCGCGTCCCCCTGTCTTTGAGGGGTGCTCCCCCTCCCCCCTTTTGCCCTCTGTTGCCTCTGCTGCTGCCGTCGACTTCGTTGGCACCGAGTCGGTCGACGCTGCGTCTGCCACTAGCGGGCGACGCCGCACCGGCAAGGGCAAGGGGGGCAAGGGCGCTGGAGGGGCTGGCGGGGGCGGTGGAGGTGGAGGGGGAGGCGGAGGGAGTGGGGGTGGTGGTGGGAGTGGTGGCGGGGATGGGGGCTTCGGTGGCGGCGGTGGCGGCGGAGGCAGCGGCGGCGGTGGCGGTGGGAGCGGAGGAGGAGGCGGTGGCGGTGGTGGCGGAGGTGGCGGCGGAGGAGGTGGAGCTAGTCGGGGCGGCTCTGCGCAGCGCGGCGGCTTAGGTGGTGGTCAGCTCCAGCAGCAGCAGCGCACTCGTGAGACCCCGTCCCCCCAGCAGCTTCGTGAGTGGTACGCTGGGCGTCAGCAAGGTGGGGGTACTGGTCCCTGTACCTACGTCCTCCGTACCGGCGACCGCGCTGGTGAGCAGTGCGGGGGGCCGCACTCCACCCAGCGCTGCTTCGGCCGCCTGACGGACGCTTGGCGTCACCAGTTCCCTGACGCCACTGAGATCCCTCGCTGGGGAGAGCTGTCTAGGGCGGGGGTTGCTATCTTTGATCTTGACTATGATGCTATTCTTGCTGCCATGTATGTTGTGTCTACTAGTGATGAGGGTAACTGTTACCTGTGTGTTCCGCCTGACCCGAGCATTGAGGCTGCTGCTCTAGGTGCTGGTGAGGCTGCTGCTCTAAGTGCTAGTGCGTCTGCTGCCTCAGGTGCTGGTTAGTCTGCTTTCTCAGGTACCACGTCGGCTCAGGCCTTACACACCTTCACCCTTGACTCGGGTGCTTCCCGCTCCTTCTTTCGAGACTGCAACACGCTTACGCCGCTTAGTCGGCCGGTTGCGATCTCCCTAGCGGACCCCTCTGGGGGTCCTGTCCTTGCTAGCTTCTCCACTGTCTTACCGTGTCCGGCAGCCCCCTCTGGCACCCTGTCAGGTCTCTACCTCCCCTCGTTCTCTACGAACTTGGTGAGTGGTGCTGATCTACAGGATCGGGGGGTTGACCAGTTCACTTCTGCGAGTCAGCGGGTGACCCACTTTACGTGTGCTCGGACGGGCCGACACTTGGCCACGTTTACCCGTCGGCCGGGGTCGAGCCTGTACACACTGACTACTGAGTCTCCTCCGGTTGCTGAGTCTGGTCAGGTAGCTGCGTCGAGTCAGGTGTTTGCTGCAGCGTCCAGGTCTGGTCCTGAGTCTGCTCCCTGCTCGTGTCGTCTCCTGTCCCACCAGACTCTCCTTTGGCACCACCGCCTTGGTCACCCCTCCCTGCCTCGTCTCCGAGGCATGGCCTCCCGTGTCCTTGTCTCTGGTCTCACCCGGTCCCTCCCTCCCCTCTCTCCGGGGCCTGCCCCTACCTGCGTTCCCTGCGTCGAAGGGCGGCAGCGCGCCGCCCCTCACTCCTCCGAGTTTCCTCCGACAGAGGCTCCCCTGCAGACTCTTCACATGGACGTGTGGGGCCCCGCCCGCATCCGTGGAGAGGGTCACGAGCGTTACTTCCTGTTGGTGGTTGACGACTACTCGCGTTACACCACGGTGTTCCTCTTGCGCAGCAAGGGTGACGTCACTGAGGTGTTGATCGACTGGATCCGCGCAGCTCGTATCCAGCTCAGAGAGAGTTTTGGCTCGGACTTTCCAGTTCTGCGTCTGCACTCTGACAGAGGCGGGGAGTTCTCCTCTGCCCACCTGGGAGCCTTCTGTCGTGCACAGGGCATCCGCCAGACCTTCACGCTTCCGGCCTCTCCACAACAAAATGGGATTGCTGAGCGCCGCATTGGCATGGTCATGGACGTCGCTCGTACGTCCATGATCCATGGGGCTGCTCCCCATTTTCTGTGGCCGTTTGCTGTTCAGTACGCATCGCATCAGCTCAACCTTCAGCCCCGGGTCTCCTTGCCAGAGACCTCCCCCACCTTGCGGTGGACGGGGAAGGTTGGCGATGCGTCTACGTTTCGGGTCTGGGGATCTCGGGCGTTTGTCCGCGACTTGTCTGCGGACAAGCTGTCCCCCCGTGCTGTTCCCTGCGTCTTCCTTGGCTTCCCCCCTGACGCGCCTGGTTGGCAGTTTTACCACCCCACCTCGCGCCGTGTTCTGTCCTCCCAGGACGTCACCTTTGACGAGTCGGTGCCTTACTACCGTCTCTTCCCCTACCGCACTGCGCCCCTCCCCCCGCCGCCGCTCTTCCTTGCGCCAGGTCCCCCCCCGGTAGACCCTCTCCCCCCTCAGGGTCCTGCCCCGTCAGGTGTGTCCCAGGTAGACGCAGTCGAGCCTGTCGAGGTAGCTGTTGACTCTGGTGCTGCTAGGGGCGCTGAGCTTGCGGGTGCCGGGTCTGGGGGTGCTGAGCCTGGGGGTGCGGAGCCTGGGGGTGCTGAGTCTAGGGGTGCTGAGCTTGGGGGTGCTGAGTCTGGGGGTGCTCAGCCTGGGGGTGCGGAGCCTGGGGGTGCTGAGCCTGGGGGTGCGGAGCCTGGGGGTGCTGGGTCTGCTCGTGTGGCCTCTGGCGGTGCTTCGTCGAGGCGGGAGCTACTCTCTCCGCAGGAGCTGCACGAGTGGTTTGCCCGGCGCTAAAGCCGTGCTGCGGGAGCTGGAGGTACTACTGTTGCTGCTGGTCCTGGAGGTGCTCGTACTGTCGGTACTCGAGCTGCTGGGACTGGGGGTGCTGCTGGGGCTGCTGGAGTTAGTCCTGCTGGAGGTACTCCTGGAGCTGCTGGAGGTACTTGAGCTGACGGTCCTGCTGGAGTTGGTGCTGCTGGAGCTGCTGGAGCTGGAGCTACTGGGGGTGTTGGCGCTGGTGGTGCTGCTGGCGCTGGTGCTTCTGAGGGTGCTGGAGTTGGCGCTGTTGGAGCTGGAGGTGCTGCTGGCGCTGGTGCTACCGCTGGGGGTACTGGTGCTGTCCCTGCTGGTTCTGGAGGCGCTGCGCGGCTGAGGCCGTACTTCGTTCCGCTCCTTGAGCAGGTTCTTGGTCTCCCGCCATCTACTGGTCCTGCTCCTCCCTTAGAGAGCCCACAGCCTGTCCAGTCGCGGTCCCAGTTACAGCCAGCCTCCCCCCTACCTGCTCCTTCTCCCTACACTGGTCCTACTGGAGGTCTTGCTGAGCCTCGTGAGCCTGCGTCTCGTCCTGCGTCGCCTGTTCGTGCTGCTCGCACTAGTGGTCGTGCTCCGCGTCCGCGTCCTCCTGCGGTCCCAGGCACACACCAGATGGCACTACGTCCTTCCACTGCTCCTCTGCGTGTCCCGTTGCCGTCTCCTCCAGAGTCCTCTCTTCCTGTTCTTGCTGACCCGGAGTCTGACTCTCTTCGTGCTGCCAGTCCTACTGTCACGCGTCTGCCCAAATTGCTGAGCGTGTCGACTCTGCTGGTAGCTGTCGTCTAGAGTACTCTGCTAGTCTCGTTGCTGAGTCTGAGTCTGTCTGTCCTCCGTCTGTCGGGGGTGAGTGTGCTCTTAGCACGGACGTCCTTGAGGACAGGCAGGAGGAGTTCCAGTGTTTTGCTGCTGCTTTGCCTCATCTCGTGTCCACGCTGATTGCCCCTGAGGGAGACCCGGATGCACCAGACATCCCGACTCCTCGATCGTACGCTGAGGCGATCGAGGGTCCCTACTCCTCACAGTGGCAGTCAGCCATGGACGTAGAGATGGCTTCCTGGAAGTCCACAGGCATCTACGTCGACGAGGTTCCCCCACCTGGGGCGAACATCGTCAGTGGCATGTGGATTTTCAGGGTGAAGCGGCCGCCGGGTTCTCCGCCTGTCTTCAAGGCGCGTTACGTGGCTCGAGGCTTCAGTCAGCGGCATGGAGTTGACTACTTTCAGACCTTCTCTCCCACCCCGAAGATGACCACTCTTCGGGTGCTGCTGCACATAGCCGCTCAGCGCGACTACGAGCTTCACTCTCTTGACTTCAGCACAGCTTTCTTGTAGGGCAGCCTGCACGAGGAGATCTGGCTGCGCCGCCCACCTGGCTTCACTGGGTTGTTTCCTCCTGGTACCCAGTGGAGCCTCCGGCGGCTAGTCTACGGTCTCCGCCAGGCGCCCCGTGAGTGGCACGACACACTGAGGACTACACTTGCGGCTCTTGGGTTTGCTCCTTCTACTGCCGACCCGTCGCTGTTTCTACGCACCGACACCTCTTTGCCGCCGTTCTACATCCTCGTGTACGTCGACGACTTGGTCTTTGCCACTGTTGACACTACTAGACTAGCCCTCGTGAAGTCCGAGCTGCAGAAGAGACACACGTGCACAGACCTGGGTGAACTGCGCAGCTACCTTGGCTTGCAGATCACCCGGGACAGAGCACAGCGCACCATTACCCTGACTCAGTCACACATGGTGCAGCAGGTCCTTCAGGGCTTCGACTTCACGTACTCCTCGCCTCAGGCCACTCCTCTGTCTACTCGCCACTCGCTCTCAGCTCTGCCTTCGGATGAGTCCGTAGAGCCGAGTGGCCCGTACCCAGAGCTTGTTGGCTGCCTCATGTACCTGATGACCTGCACACGACCTGACCTTGCATACCCTGTTAGCATCTTGGCACGCTATGTTGCTCCTGGGAGACACCGACCAGAGCACATGGCTGCAGCGAAGAGGGTGTTGCGCTACTTGTGCAGTACGTCGGGCATGGGGCTAGTGCTTGGAGGGCGACGTCCAGTGGTCCTTACAGGTCACGCTGACGCTTCTTGGGCTGACGACCAGGCTACGCAACGGTCGTCACAGGGTTACACCTTCAGCCTTGGTTCCGGCTCTGTTTCGTGGCGGTCTACCCGCTCGTCTTCTGTTCTCGGCTCCAGCTGTGAGGCTGAGATCTACGCGGGGGCTATGGCTGCACAGGAGCTACGCTGGCTCACCTACCTGCTGACTGACCTAGGAGCGCCGCCTCGTTCTCCTCCAGTTCTGTACGTAGACAACAAGGCCATGCTGGCCTTGTGTCGGGAGCACAGACTGGAGCACAGAACGAAGCACATTGCTCTTCGCTACTTCCTTGCTCGTGAGCTGCAGCAGCGTGGTCATCTGCGTCTTGCTTACGTGGCCTCTGAGGCCAACACTGCTGATATCTTTACCAAGGCACTTCCGCGTGGTGATCATCAGCGCTTCTGTACGATGCTAGGTCTTGTGCCTACTTGATCTCACTTGCTCACCTCTTGACCTTGCTTGTACTGTGATCTTACTATACCTGCACTTGCTTGTTTACCTTTATATATGATCTTGCATGTGAACTGGCCTTGTGGCCTTGAGCTTGTGCTCGGACTGTGTGGTGACGTTGTGATCCACCCTGAGCTTGCTTTGCTTTGCTTGACTGGTCTTGTGACCTCTTGTTCTCCCCCACTTTGCCTATGGGGGTGTGTCAAACTCTTATGCTAAAGTCTGTGTAGGCTGTAGTGGGGTAGACAATATGGGGTACAACACTTCTAGGTTTTCCTACTTGTACCCACCTGCTTGCTAGTTCATTCATTCCTCATTCTTCACATACTGTAATCTTCATTCATTGCTATTCGTAACACCCCCCTTCACTCCTGGCCGCAGTTCGACCTGACCTGCTTGACCACTCCGCTAAGTTCGAGGCAATTCTGATACTGCTGGCGTGGCAGTCGCTTCGCGAGAAAGTCTGCTGCCATGTCACCAGTCGGGCAGTAGGTTAAGTTAACCTTGCCTTTGTCCACTTCGTCCTTCACGAAGAAATACCGTAGCGCAATGTGCTTGGTGCGGTTGACGAAACCAGGTTCTGTTCGCGATGCGAATCGCGCTCTGGTTGTCGCAATGAAGACAAACGGTGGACGAAGCTCGAATTTTCACCTCCTGCAGGAGTTCCTGCAAGTAGAGGCCTTCGCGAACTGTTGCGGTTGCTGCGATGAATTCTGCTTCGGCTGACGACAGGGCAACTAGCTCCTGCTTCCGCGAATTCTAGGAGATTGGTCCCGTTGGATCGAGTCGGAACAGGTAGCCAGTCCTCGATCGTCGATTGTCGGGATCTGCTGCGTGATCGGGGTCCACGTAGCCGATGAGATTGAAGGATGGGGTTGGTGCAGTTGAGTAGCACAGCCCAATCTTGGGCATTGAAACGAAGAAATGTAGGGCTAGCTGCAGGTCCAGAAGATTCTCAGCCATTGGTTTGCGTGAGTACTGGGCCAGCTGACTTGCGATGTAGGAAAGGTCAGGCCTGCATGTGACAGAGGCAAAGAGCAGGCATCCCAGCTGCTGCTGGTAAGTCTGAACTCCGGCAGGGGATAGGGCTTTGTTGTCAGGTTTGTGGTTCGGTCCCGGAGTTCGGTCGGGAGTGGAGAGCGGTGCAGGTGAAATGCTGAACAGCTTCCTTAACTCCTCTGCAAACTTAGTCGCTAAAAGGTGAATGGCCTCAGGTGCGTAGGAGATGTTGAGGCCTAAGAACTGCTTCACCTCGTAGTTGCACGTGATGTCGACACGCCCCGCCAGGCTTTTCTCGAACTGCTCGAGTCACTCGTTGCTTGATCCCGTGTAAAGCAGGTCGTCGACGTAGACCGTGAGGAGAATGTATTCGCCGCGGAAGTCACGACGATACATTCCTGGATTGTGCGGCATCTGCTTGAACCCGATTTCAAGCAGGATGTTGTGCAGATACTGCTGCCAAAGCCTTGGTTCCTGTTTTATCCCGTACGAGATTTGCGCAGCCGGCACACGCGCGAATCCCCTTCGCCGTATGTGTGCGGCTGCTCCACGTAAATCACGGCGTCTAATAACGCGTACAGGAACGCGTTCTTCATGTCGATCTGGCGGAGAGGCAGATGCCTTGCGGCTGCGATGGCGAGCAGGATTCGAACGGAAGTTTGGCGGCTGACTGGGGCGAACGTCTGGTCGAAGTCGATGCCGTGCCTCTGGTCATATCCGCGTACCACCCAACGCGCTTTGAAACGCTCGATTGTTCCGTCCGCTGCGGTCTTCACGCGGAAGACCCATTTCCCCAAAAGAACTCTTGCTCCTTTGATTGTCGCACGGTCGACTAGCACCCGGGTATCTCGGGATTCGAGCGCCTTGATTTCCGCGTTCATTGCCTCACGCCATTCTTGTTGTGTGGTCCAGTGAGAGCTTGGCGCGGGTTTCACGGCTCGATGACACGTGGCGCCTTCGAGGTTGCGGTGTGAAGCCCGAGCAACTGCAATCCTGAAACGGTGCTGTCGTGGCGACGTTGCGGGATGACTTCCTGCACATCGTCGTCATCGCTCTTTGGTTCAGGTGGTGCAGGTGGTGCTGTGCCACTGCCGCTTCCGCCTATTCCGCCCATTCCTCCTCCGGAGGAGTCGTCGTCTGTGAAATTGAACGAGAATGATTGAACTATGAAACAGTTGGGTACAAGTACTAACCCTAATTGGGTTGTACCCCATATGGGCTACCCCACTACAGCCTACACAAAAGTAAAAGCTATAATGTTCTGACACACCCCCATAGGCAAAGTGGGGGAGAACAAGGGGTCACAAGACCAGTCAAGCAAAGCAAAGCAAAGCAAGCTCAGGGTGGATAACAAAGTCACCACACATTCCGAGCACAAGTTCAAGGCCACAAGGCCAATTCACATGCAAGATTCTATATAAAGGTAAACAAGCAATTGTATGTATAGATAGATCACAGTACAAGCAAGGTCAAGAAGTAAGCAAGTGAGGCAAAGTAGGCACAAGACCTAGCATTGTACAAAAGCGCTGATGATCACAAGGCTGAAGTGCCTTGGTAAAGATATCAACAGTGTTGGCCTGAGAGGCCACGTAAGCAAGGCGCAGCTGACCACGCTGTTGCAGCTCACGAGCAAGGAAGTAGCGAAGAGCAATGTGCTTCATTCTGTGCTCCAGTTTGTGCTCCCGACACAAGGCCAGCATGGCCTTGTTGTCTACGTACAGAACTGGAGGAGAACGAGGCGACTCTCCTAGGTCAGTCAGCACGTAGGCGAGCCAGCGTAGCTCCTGTGCAGCCA